GCCCTGAGGGGGCAGGGGGTGCAGGTTGGGGGGGGCAGTGAGTGAGGGGCTGTGGGTGGTGAGGGGGGTTGTGGCTGCAGGGGGGGGGAGGCCCCAGGATGAGCCCCGGGTGCCTCAGGGAGCAGCTGGGGACGTGGGATGGGGTTTGGGTTTGGGTGAGGGCTCCGGGGGCGGCTGGGGTGCACGGGGAGACCCGGGGGCCTTGGCGGGTGCACGAGGGTCTGTGGGGTGTGAGGGAGGATGCTGGGCTGCGGGGGGCATCCCGGAGCGGCCGGTCCCGGGGTGGCACCCTGGCCTTTGTGGAAGTGGCGTCCGCGCTTCCTCCTCCTGCTTCGTCCTCGTCTGGCGCTGTTGACAAGCGCCGCTGCCGCGGGTCCTCCCGCCGCGTGCGCCGCCTCGCCCCCCATGGGGCTGCCTCGTGAGGAGGGTTTGGCCTGGCCTTTTTTGTGCATAAAGATCTTTATTCATCCCCAAGTGGCTCATGAGTCATCTCTGTTGGCTACTTGTGCGGGATACTTGTCCACGCTTGTCTTACGCTCACAATTATGCCTTGAAAATTAAAGTGTTGGGCTCTTCTGGCTGTTTTTGTCCCCAAATGGTGTCCTGTGTAAACTTTCAGAATAGAAATGGAAGAAGTTGGGTAAAAGCTGGTCTCAGAGCCTGTTCATTTACAGCTTTCTGTCATTTCCAGGGCATAGGAACTATTGGGTTTGCTCTTTTTCTTTCAGTTGCCTTCCCGATTGAGTGGTGGTGCTTCCCTGGAATCACTGCTCTTCTCTTTAGCTAGTTCCTTATGGAATGTTCCTAGTTTCCTTGAAAGTCTGCTTTCATTAACTAAACGTGTGCCGATTGCACCAACTATTCTGCCTGTTTCTGATGCAGAGGAGAGTTGACTCCAGCTGGTTTTCAAGCACCTGCCTTGCCCTGGTTTGTCTTTCCCGCTGTCGCTGGTTGTCCTTTAAGTATCAGGGCTTGACAGAGGACCTGGCTGCTTTGGAGCCTGTTCATGACAACGATAAATACAGTTTAGGCTCTTGCTTTGGGTTTGCAGCCTTTGGAGACTGTTTGTAGCTTGTTGTGTTGGAGGTGAGAGTTAAACCAAAAGCAGCTGGGTCCAGGCGGGACCTGGACCAAGTGGCCGGGTCCCCACACAAGGCAGCACGAGCCAGGGGTGGCAGAGTGTGGAAAGGGGAAGGTTTCAGGGGAGAACAGGTGACCTTGGTGCAGGGGGAATGTGGTTTCTTAGGTGGGTCTTGGTGGCACGTTAGCGCTCTGCAGCGTGGTGAGCTTGAATGCAAGTGTTTTGTGAAAGGCACTGGAATTAGGAAGTGACGTGGGCTGGGCTATTGCTTGCAGCTGAAAGGGAAAAATAAGCTGTGAAAAGTAAATAGAAGCGTCTCAAACAAAACAAATCACTGGCTGGCTTTTGAGACACCCATGAAGGGAGCTGCCATTCGAACCAGCAGGAACCAAGCGGCCTAAAGCACAGGCTGGTTTTGTGGGCCTGAAAATCCCGAGGACGAGCAGAGTGGAGCAGGAGCCCCTGGGACAGGCAGGAGCGACCACATCCAGGTAGGAGGGAGCTGAGGGCATCGCTCCAGGACGGACCCTCCCCAACCACCCGTGGCCTCGGTACACAGTGGGACAGTAACCACCTTCCTGCTGCAGTTAATGAGCAGGAAATGTCCCTTTTCCCCCCAATATTTGCTTCTCTGTAGCATTCGACAAAACATAACATGTTCTGCTAGGCCATGAGTCTGCCTTGTCGCATACAGTGTTTTATACATTGGTTCCTTAATGTCATTGCAGTCCTGTAGCTTGAACCTGGCGGCTGCTTTTCAAGCTTTCCTTCTTGGTGTTACTCTGTTTAGGACTGATTAAATAAAAAAAAAAAAAAAAAAGTCTTGATCGGGGATGCGATAACAGATTTCACTCCTATTTGTAAAGTGAGGAAGCAGCTTTGTAATAACCGTAGTTCTGTTTTCTCCTTTCCCCGCTTGAAACAATGCAACGGTTTGCCCTGGGCCCCGGCGTTTCCTCATACATCTCATCTTGCTTCAGAAATTGCCGTAGACTGAAGCAACTCCGTCTCATGAGTCTCCGTCCAGCAGCGGCGCTGGGACTTGCAGCTCTGCTGTTGTCTTAATGAGCGTGCGAGGGCGAAACCCCTCGGCTTGGCATGGCCCCGCACACGAGTGTCTTGGAGCTCTTGGTGAGAGGGTTTGGAAGGGGCTTCGTCCTCACAGAGGGTGGCCCGAGTGTCTATCCTGGTTAAAATGTCACTGCTCTGTCTGTATTGCGATCCTCAAAACACGAAGGCTGCTTTTGTGCTGCGAGGTGTCAACACAAGGAGGGGAGTTTTAGGACTAGCTTGCGGGGAGGATACTCGAGAAATAAGCGCTCAACTAAATGCGGGGAGGCACCAGCACGTGTTTAAGTTGAGCAAACCGCTAAGATCTTGCAGATCTTTAAGGACTGTTTATCTTGGGCTGTTGGTTGGTACCTGTGCGTGGAACTAGAGCGGCGTGCCCCAAAATTTGGGGGGTAGGGAGCTAAGACTGCGCCTCATTTCTATATCTATGTTAATTATAAATCCTGTGGTGGTCCAAGCGTTCTGCAGCTCACGGCCTGGCTGCGAGCACAGACCCTGCTGCAGCTGAACCCTTTGGTTTCATGTGTGGATTTAAAACAGTTGGGGGGTCCTCCGTGTAGAAACAGGCATCCATATAATGATTCCTTTTTAAACTCCTTCTAAAATTAGGGTCTCGTTGCCTGCTTTAAGTGATTTAGTGATGTTTTTCTGGGAGTACAGTCTGGCTGCGGTTCTGAAAACCTGGTTTCATCCACGACTCTAGTCACTAGTTCAAGCGGAGGCAGCGTCTGAAGCTGTTTGTGGTGCCTCAAGCTCGGCAGAGAAGCAGAGTGGCTAAGTAGATGTCCCTGCAATTGAGCTGTATTTGACACTTCCTAAGAAATTGGGGGTTTCTTTCCTCTTTTCTTCTTTCCTCTGCTTGATTTTCCCTGGAGAACTGGAGGTTCAGGGCCATGGTGTTGAACCTTAGTGGCTCTCGTCGTTCTAAAGTTTGGAATAAAGAGCAAATGTTCAGCCCTGTTGTCTACTCCTTTGGCCTTACTTATATTGAATATTTGCTGAAATTACAACACCCCCAGACATTTTTAAGAATCTTTAAGAATTTCTCCTTAAGAAAGGCAGCAGTACCTGCAATGAGAGGTGTCAAGATCTGTCCTTAATTTGTTGTCCCCATGTATTTTTGAGGAGGAACAGAAAGCCAAGAGCCTGGAAATGTGGCGAGCTTTCCTTAAACCAACTGCTAAACACATAGGGCTTCTCCAGGTTCTCTCAATTCAAACCCAGCTTGTTCCCACCAAGTGTTAGATTCAGTTTGGAGCTGGCTCTTGGAGAGAGAGCTCCTTGTTCTTGGACAGGCCGCTTTTTTTTTTTTCCCCAAGGAAAAGCTAATAGGATGCACGCGCTTCGGGATCCCCCCAAGGGCCTTTTTTTGAAGTGTTTATCACATGTCTCAAAGACCCGGCGTCCGGACACACCATTTAGCACCAACTAAAACCTTGGTCCAAGGCCCCGACAAAAGCAGCAGCTGCTTGTGGTAGGGTAGGGATAGAGCTGCCCCTTTGCAGTAAGCAAATTCTAAACATTTTCTGTTAGGTTAGCCCTATAATCTAAGGGCTGTATTTCTCCTTTATGGAATTTTGTTTAATTTGTGGCCCCAGGAGTACCAGGTTTTGCCTGGATGTGTTTATCCGATACATCTAAGAGGAAATATTAATATGCTTTGATATCTGGTGGCAGATGTGAGACCACTGCCATGGCTTGAGGTAGGCTGGGCTAGTTGTGATATGGTTGAACCTTCCTTTTGGGGTTGGTTCCGTGCTGTGCTCAGCACACCTGGAAATCTGCCATAGGATATAATGTTAAATAAAACATCCAGTGCTGATGGATGGGCTGTGGTAAGTTCACTTGTTGGCTGCATGCTGATCCCTGGGAGGTTTTGTATACAAAAAGAAGGGTTTTTAAGAGATGCAGCATTTATAAATTCATTATATATTTCGGTAAGTTTTTCTAGATTTCAATCTCTTCCTTCTGGTTATAGCTATATGTAAATACGGAGGAATAAATGAGAGAATAAATGCCACCCCAAACATGGAGCATATGAAATCTGTTCCTTTCCAAAACCAGTGGGAAGAAGCCTTTGAGGCCGGTGCAGCTCCATCCTGAATGGCATTTTTTCACGCTTGATATCTGAAGAACAAGCTTGGATTCCAGCTGACATTTCAGTAGATATAACCAGATCAAAGCAAGGCTTTATCTCGTAGATGAAGGCTTACATGTGCTATCTGTGGGCTTTGCTTGTTTTTTTGGTCTTTCATAAGCTGCTGGCCAGACTGGACCCCCTAGTCATTTGATGTGGCCGCTCCGCTGTAGTTAGTCTTGAAAGGCTCCTTTAAGAAGCACTTAGTCCTGCTTTAAGAAGTGATGTCTTTCTTAATCTTTTCCTGTGATTTCTGGCCATGTTAAGAGGACCTTATATGTGAATTCAGTAATGAGGTGTCCTGGGCTCTATGGGATCCTTGGGCTCTGCCTTGGGAGCAGAGCTGCTGTTTCCCTTGGGTTGGGTGCACGGAGGAGTTTCCCTCCTATGAGGCTTCCTTAGGATGGAAGGAATCATCTAATGAAAAAAGATTCCTCAAGCACTGCTAGTCCCACACTTCCAGTCTGAAATCTGAAAAGCCGAGTATTAAAAATTTAAACCTGGAAGAGGCTGTTGGCTACGTAGACACAACCAGCTCCAAGTGGTGCTGCTCCTAGTTTGAATAAATGTAATTCAAACAGAGGACTGGGAAGCCGCTGAAATGAGATTTAGACTAACTGTTGTGCTGTCTTTAATCTGGCTAGTCGTGCTGGGGAAATATCTTGCTGTATTCTAGTGCCTTGTTTTCTTGAAGCTCGAGATGCAGAAATAATTTTGGATGCCAAAGTGCATGACTCATTAGGAGAATTTTAATAACTCGTGTGAGACAGGACCTTCTTCTACAGAATCCCTGCTGCTTCTTTGCTACTCTATTGTAGTCGAGCCTATTCTTTACGCTGGCATTCTCGTCACTCGGCCCACTGTAATAACAACCATACTGGGTTATGGCTTTCAATTTGGGCAGTTCTTTTTAGGACTGGTGTCTTCATCTGTCACTTCCCTCCTTGGGTGCCATCTGCCTTCAGATCTGGAAAAAATGGGCTGGATTTTTGGCCGTGGGAGAACACTGGCTGTTTTGTACCCGCTGGAGTTGTGCTGAAGTGAAGCAGATGGGGAATTTGTTTGTACCCAATTTTTCTCCCTTTGTGCTGCCAGAATTATTCTGTTGCTATGCGTAAGGTAACTCAAAGCTCCTTAGACCTCAGCTTAGATGGCTGAACGTGCAAGAAGCTGTATTTAGTACTGGTGAAGAATTCGGAAGCTAAACTCGGTGCTGAAACTGTTTTCTCTGGCATTAATGCAATAAAGCAAATGCCAGGAGTTCCAGCATAATAGACCAAGAGCTCAAAGGGGCTGCTTAGTGGGATGCTGTAATTGATGCTTCAAGGGGAAGCTGGGTGATTACAGGCATTTCTGGCTGCTGTGTAGAAGACATGGGTGCTCTCTGGTGTCTTTTAGCAGTTCAAATATTACTTAAATAGTAAGAATATTTGGTAAACTGCTGATTTCACCATGTTGATTACTCCTTTCAGGGTGGAAAGGCTTCTACTTGTACTGTCAAAAGGCTGAAGTTCCATGTTTCATTCCAGACTCACTGGGTTCCTGTTGGTGTCTGTGACCTTCTGGGTGCAGCTCGTTGGAGCCGAGCGCCGTCGTGCCCGGCCAGCCCCTTCCAACACGGTCTGTTCTCAATTCTAGGGCAGAACTTCATTTCCTTCCCTCGCCACGAAGAAGAGCATCTGCAGCAGACCGTGAGCTGGCACCCGTGCCTCCTGCTTCTGGGCCAGAACTGCAATGCCAAGTGCCAGCTCCTCAACATGCTCCTGGGCGAGAAGCTGCTCCCTACCACCAAGATCAGCAGCGAGGAGAACTGCAGGAGGCGGCGGATCCGTTTCACCCACGGGTTGCAAACGCGGGTTAGTCTAGCGCTGCCAGAGCAGTATGAACTGGTCCATATGATGGCAGCCCATCGAGGGCAGTGGGACACGATCCCGGAGGAGGACTTGGAAGTCCGTGGGGACAGTGAGGATCCTGCTCACCGCATCGCCGAGCTGGAGGTCATGCTGCCGTACTCGCTTCTAAAGGTAACTTGGTGTTCACGTGCCTTAGCACAGCGACCCTATAAGAGGTAAAATTTACAGTCTCTAATAAAAATGCGGCTATAAACTCACAAGCATACAAGTGTTTCTTTTATTAGCTAGAAGCTGGAAGTTTTGGGGATGACTTTAATTGGACACAACTGTCTAAAACTGCGCACATCCTTCCGCTGAAGGCTCCAATTGCCTCCAAATGCATCCTAAAATTTGACTCCAGTTTCAAGGTCATCTTGGTTAGCCTGACTGTCCAGTAGCAGGTAGAAGCTGTCATGAAAATGTGTGCAACCATATGCACACACATGCATGTTTGTGTGTATAGTTGTTTAATCTCTATCCTAAAGAGCTTATTGTCAAAAGGGAGCAGCCTTTTGCTTTTTGTGAGGTCGACGTTGGAGGGGTTGGGAATTCAAGTCACTTTAATTCTCAGTGCCCTTTCCAGCTTTGCTAGCACTTTACTTTGCAGCCTGCCTCTCACTCACCTGGCAAATGAGGTGTTCCTACCTGTGACTGCAGCAATTTGATATCTAACAGATACTTTGAAAGGCAGAAATTGAATGTCATAGCTTTTTATAGCTTATGTGAGCTCTCATTGTGTTTTAGATTGACTATTTATTCTGAAGTATATATTGTTTAAGTGTAAAGACTGATTTCTTCTCACAGGATTAAGAATATATGAATTTATGTTTAAGCAATAAAGTGTCAAGGTAACTCTCTCTGGAAGCCTGAATCTAGACAGGGCTGGAAATAGGCTGATAATGGGGACTCCATTTATCTCCATGCGTTTGAAATACATTTCACAAAGCTGGTATACAGCAGAAATTCACCCTACCCTAAGCAGACCAGGCAAGTGAAGGCAGCCTCGTGGTGCACGTGGCTTCTGCTCCCCGCTGAAAAAGAGCAGAAGTGACGTGTCCGTATAAACTATGGATGAGACATCCCCCTTTTTCCTCAAAAGCACCAAATCAGCTGCTGGTGCTGCAAAATAAATGTCCCTTCTGCGTGATGTGTGTGTCAACTCTTGCCTCGCTGTGTGTGTGAGTGTGTTTAGCTTTGCGCTTGGTTTACTTGGTTACGTTTGCAGATGGGTTGGTTTATAGCTACGCTGCAGTTTCTAACCCTCTTTTAGATTCCTCACCCGAACAACAAAGATCCTTCTGTCTGGCTTGGGTTATATTTAGGACACTTAGATGAAAAAAGCTACTCAGATTAATTGGAAAAGGGCTAGTGAAATAAAAAGCCCTTCCAATGGAAGGAGCGGAAGGCTGAATCACAGCCTCGCACTGAGTCAAAGGATTCCTCACATGAATTTCGGGCGAAAAGGAAGAATCAAATGGATAGGCCGATAGGATTGATATATTTTAGGAGATAATTGGGGTAGCAATAAAGTGTTGAAGTCTGGACTCCTGTTGAGGGATTTGAGAGTCTTATTCCTCTGGCTAATGTGTGTTTTCCAGCTCTGTTTAGCAGACACCAGGACAACAATGTTAAAAATACCTGTTGCTTGGGGACACTGCTGTTGGAAGCAGCACAATGTGCCTTTGGAGCAGTAACAGATGAATTTTTTTTCTGGAGTTAAACCAGAGCTACAAGCCTGCAGAGCCTATGAGAACTTCCCTTTTTAACCTTGGGAAACAGAGCTCCCAGCCCAGTGACAGTTCTGTGCTGGATGGGGACGTGTTTTCGGGTACCAGAAGTTGGTTTGTGTGCTGCAGCATCCCATATGAACGTGTGGACTCCTTCTTCCCATGTAATGGATGGATACAGGGATGAGCAGGATAACATCAAAGCAACATCCTATCTTTTAATATTGAAGCACAAGTGGAACGCTCTGAGTTTATACGTGCTGCTCTGCTAAATTATTGATGGCCAGGTTGGGACCACGCTTTTCTGTGTGGCTTAAGGATGTCTGAAGCAAAACTTACCTCACAGAAAAGCGGGTGAGCAGGAGGGAGCCAAGAATTTCATTTGCAGGGGTTGGCTGCTGTGAGAACACAACCTTGTGCCCGTGAACATGTGAACTTAGATTTATTTTTATTTTCTTAATTGATATAAATGGCCAGGGAAGAACAACTCCTTGCAAAGCTGCTCTGTTCCGTGGGGATCACCGTGCAGGAATGCATCTAGGTCATGGAATAATCCATCCAGCTAGACAGATTATTAGATTTACAGTGGAAGTAAACAGTTGGCTCCTTCCCTAAATCTTATCAGTTGTGCCTAGAAGCCCAAACAGATTCTCAGGGGTATTGGTTTTCCTTTGCACAGCAGAACTCAGTGAGAGGAGGCTTGAAGAGCTTTCTTTTACATGGGGCTTCATTTATTTTGCTTTCTGCTGTGTTCTAGTTTGCCTCCCATACTGGAAAGTCTCACTCGGGGCTTGTAGGGGAAGAAAAATCTTTTCAGCTCCTCTGGCAAAGCTAGAAAAGGATAATAATGAAAAACAAAGTGGTTATATTGGCTAGAAAGAGGAATACACTTGTTAGGGTTTATTGTTGCGGTCTTGAAAATGTCCTGAATCAGGGATTGAGGTTGTGTGAGTAGCAAAGTGTGTTGATGTATCAATGGGATTGTAATGTTAAACCTCTGAAGATGTCCTGGTCTCTCTTCCTGGGAGCCTTTTGAACACGTTTGGTTGTGCCATTAATGCCTAAATCCACATGGCTTTGGTGGTGGCTGGAAGAAATAACTGTATGTGCCAGAGACTGGAGACCTGCTTTGATTTCTTCACCTGGGATTTTTTGCCACAGTCATCTTGGAAGCAGGGAATAAAGTTACGGGACCTCACAAAAAGTGAGGAGAGGGAAGGAAAGTTCTAAGCAGAACCCAGGAACTTGCAAATATCTCAGATTAGTGAGGAGGCTGTGGAATTTACCTGCCAAATAGTAAAAAATATCCCATATATTAAAAAAATGCAGTCACTGTCTGATATCAGGGATTTACTGACTCTTCCTGGAAGTCAGAGTAGTCGGATCGGCTTGGAGTGAGACTGAGCTGGGCCTTCAATTATAATCTGCTTGACAGGAGTTTGGGCAAAAATCTGGCTGAACTGGGTTAGCTTTTTAGCTCCTCAGTTACCTAAACGAGCAATAATTACCATGCCCTGAGCCCAGCAGTGTGGGGTGAGGTGCTCTGGGGAGGTGGCAAAGAAACGCCTTCTAACTGGGCTGGAGATGAGAAACGATCTCTTGATTTCAGCTTAGTAAAACACACTGAGGCTCTGACTTGTCTTGTAGGCCAAGACCTACTTGACGCTTGATTTTTAAGCTTTGTTCTGGATGTGGGATGTGTAGATCTCCATACTTGATGTTCGCATTGCTGAGTGAGGAGCTTGGACCCCTTAGTTGGAGGAAACACAAATGCAGTTACGTGATAGCAGCTTCAAGCTTAGATGCTGGAGTGTTTGTAGTGCTGTGACCTTGTGAGAAGCAGCGTAAGAATTTTAGGAATCCCGTGTGAATTATAGGCATTCCTCCCATAGGAAGCCTAGATCCCACATCCTATGGAGCTCTATAGGCAGCGTTTAAACTTCGGTGGGGCGTTTAAAAAACGAGAAGTCTTGCTCTAGGTTCCCGAAAGCCTCCTGGGCCTCTACGGAAACGGCAGGACCAGAGGCTCGTGCTGCTTTCTGTTCTGTGCCTTGGTTTTCTGCCTGTCTCCAGGAGACGGCCCCGGCTTCCTCCTTTGTTTCCAGGCAGGGGCTGAGTCATCCACCCTGGTGCCTATTCTGGAATGCCGCTTCCCAGCCCATCCTGGGCATCAAACAGGTCGCAGCTCTGTTCCCGGGGCATTAATGACCTCCTGTTATCGCTGCGAGTACTCGGGAGACCTGGTCAAGTCTTATTTTTTGAGCAGCTCTGGGAGAAAAATGATTTGAAGTATTGATTGTCCCTCCCCTGTTATGAGCAGGGAAGATGATGCTTAAATTCTGCTTTGGACCCCGAGCCTCTCACTGCTCCTGTGTGACCCAAGCAGTGCAACTGCATAGCAAGAAAATGAGTTGTTAAAATACATATTTGCTAGTTTTTAGCTGCATTTGAAGAGTATCACAACTGAACTTACTGTCACAGCCATCTGTTCCTCCTTGCCTGTCCTTTGGCTGTGAGCTCCTTGGAATATGTTGCTGTGCTGTCTTTATCTTGGCAGTTGTGATTAGTGTAGTACTCTTTGGTGTTGGAAACTGTCAGCAGGAAGATCTTCTCGAAGAGCTGATTATCGGGTAAACAGATATAGAGGCTGAGAGCGTATTTACTAGAAAAGGCTGTTGCAAAAGAAGGGTGGGCATAAATTAAAGAATAACAGCTATTTTTTGGCAGCTCTTACCTGGGAAACTTGTTCTAAAGTAGGTGATGATGCCCAATAACAGCTCTGGCAATTTTGGTTTCCTCAGTTTGCCTTCCTGCTGGTGGGTCTGCATTAGCCTTGCAGGTTGGCTGGGTACCACAGGTGATGCCATGTGGGATTCCATGATTGTTTTGTAGGGTCTAGATGTGTTTTTTCTCATTTTTTGGATGAATAACACAAAACTTTTGCATGTACCTGTGTTAAAAAGGACCTGGGCGAGACTCTCTTTTACCTCCTTGCTTGCTAGGAAGTGGATGTGGTGGTGGCACCGTGTCGTGGGTTCCAGTCAGCTGAAGCCACCTTGGGAGAATATGTGAACCACGTCCTGCCCGTGGTCGTCTTTGCCATCAGCGAGGCCGAACTTTCCCCGTCGGATGAGAACGAACTGCGCGAAATCAGAGAGAAGTTTTCCTTGCCCATTTTCTTCTTCAAAGTGCCAGAGTCGGGGGCTGAGCTGATCTCTCCCAAAAAAACTGATCACGAAAAGTCCTCCCTTTACTGCCAGCTGATGGACTTGGAGTACCTGAGCAGCCACCACTGCAGCTGCGGGGCTCCCGGTGCGGATGCCGGTGCCCAGAGCATGTTGGTGGAGCAGTCCGAGAAGCTCCGTCTCCTAAGCACCTTCTCCAGGCAGGTCCTTCAGAAGCACCTGGTGGAAGCAGCCACCAGCTTGAACGAGGTGCACTGCCGTTGCCTGAACATCTTCATCAACCAGGCTTTTGACATGCAGCGGGACCTGCAGATCACCCCCAAGAGGCTGGAGTACACCCGCAAGAAGGAGAACGAGCTCTACGAGTCTCTGATGAACATTGCCAACCGTAAGCAGGAGGAGATGAAGGACATGATCGTAGAGACTCTTAATAACATGAAAGAGGAGCTCTTGGAAGATGCTGCTGCTATGGAGTTCAAAGGTAATTACTGCAAGGAGGGAAATGAGGAGAAAGAGGTTGGGGCTTTTAAGGAATGGGTCATATTTGCCCCCTGCTAAAGAATAGTTGAATGCCAGCCTAGATGGGTGACACTGGGAGCAAATTCAGAATTACTACAAATGCTTTGTGTGTTATCTCCTTGAATTAGAGGCCTACATACGGTTCCTTATAGGCAGACATCCTCCACACCCAGCTTCTATCGCAGCTTTCTGCATGGTCCCAGAGAGAACAGCACATGCATGAAACGGCAACAAATATCACAAAAGGTCTTATCCTTGGGGATGGAAGTTGTCCTCACTGAGGCTGTGCTGTCCCTGCCCTGCAAACGATTTAAAGCGACTCTCAGTAGCTGATGATGCAACTCTGCTATGCTTATAAAGTACAAAAAAATGCTTCTTTCTTTTCTTCTGTGCAGACATCATAATTCCTGAGAATGGGGAACCTGTTAGCTCCAAGGACATCAAGTGCTGTATTAAGCAAATCCAGGAACTGATTATTTCTCGGTTAAATCAAGCAGTTGCCAACAAGTTAATTAGCTCGGTGGACTATCTGCGAGAGAGCTTTGTAGGGACACTGGAGAGGTGTCTGAAGAGCCTGGAGGAGTCTTGGGACGTTGCAGCACACACGGCAAGGAGCTTGGAGAAGTCCAAGGATGCCTCTGTGCACATCACAAGCAATTATCTCAAACAGGTAGGGTGGCTCCAATGGGCTAATTCTTAATTGTCGCCCTCCTGATGCAACGAGGGTGGGAGGAACCTGAGATGCCCGGTGAAACCAGAGGAATGTGACATCTCTGGAGCGCTTCTGTATCTGATTCCACTAAGGGACATGCTAATATTTGGAGGTATTAGTCTTGTTCCTGGCTTGTCATTGCTGCTTGTCCTTCCTCAATTTCTGTAATCAAATTGCAGCCTGGGAATACCTGTGAGTGTGATAAAATAAACTGAATTGGGTGAATAAGCATTTTTAATGGTGTCCTCTGCTCATTAGCAGGGACAAGATGTGTCTAGCAATTCTTAGAGTAACTGGTTTGCAGAGTTTCCACACTCATCTTCCCCCTGCTTTCCAGATATTAAATGCAGCCTATCACGTTGAAGTCACGTTTCACTCCGGCTCGACAGTGACCAGGATGCTGTGGGAACAGATCAAACAGGTCTGGGCATCTTTATGACTTATTTTTAGCAGGGGTCATTGTACAGGGTGATATTTTTGGAGGAGGGGCTGTAGTGAATATTCGCTGCTGCTCTGGACTTGTGGAGGTCTCTGCTGTTAAGAGGGTTGATGACCTTTGCAGCCATCAGCCTCTTGCTGTTCCTTCCAGATTGCATCAAGGATTTTGTATGGGAAATTCACAGGAATATGGGAATTTTTTTCCCAAGTAGATGCACCTTGGACTGAATGGCATCAAACCATCAGATCCTTCCTGCAGCCTGGGGAGAGGATTCCAACTGGGCTTTTGAGCCCTCTAGGAAAGGCCTCAGAAAAACATCTTGGAAGCAATTTGAGGGAAGTGGTGCACACTGTGACTCCTAGATGCAGGATCTCTGCACCTGAAAGCATGTCTGTCTAGAAAGGTGCTTCACTAGAGCTCTCAACTTGGGATTTTTTTTTCCTGAGTCTCTAGTTTACTGTTCATGCTCTCTATTTTTCACCCTAAGAGCTGGCTCTTGCAGCTCTAGTGTTCCTTAAGATGAATTTATGCAGGTGATGTTTATTCCTTTAGAGCCAAATGCACCTGCGGCATCGCTGGGTGACAGCCCCTCACTGGGGACAGATCCAGCCCTCGCTCCTCACTGCCGTAGTGAGCTTTTCCAGGCAGTGGCTCTGTGATTTACAGTCTTGGTCATGAGTATGAAAAGATGTTTGGTTTGTAGGAATGAACTGCGTGGATATTCGGAAGAATTGAGTCTCTAAATACTTTGTGTGTGTGTGTGTATGTACAACTCTAAAAATCATTTAACCCAGTTCTGCAAGAAGATAAATGTATGTATTATTACAGCAAAGTATCTAAAGAGTCTATACTGTAATAATACAAGTATCTAATGGTCTTTGAGAAGTGATTGACCTTTTTTTGTGCTAGTGTCCTGATGCTCTTCCCTGTGTTGCTAGATAATCCAGCGGATCACATGGGTCAGCCCACCTGCCATCACCAGTGACTGGAAGAGGAAAGTTGCTCAGGATGCTATTGAGAGCCTCAGTGCATCCAAGTTAGCCAAGAGCATTTGCAGCCAGTTCCGGACCAGGCTAAACAGTTCCCATGAGGCTTTTGCTGCTTCTCTAAGACAGGCAAGTGCTATAAATAAAGAGATTGTATTTTGTATAGCATCACTATTGGAAAGTGTTGGGTTTTTTAAGTAGCAGGAATAGGTAACAGAGCAGTCCATGCAGTTAGTGCTGCTCACTGCAGGTAGAGATGGAGGAGCTGATGTGAGGAACCTAAAACAAAATTTGAAATACAGCTTTTTAAACTAGGGATGATTAGGCAGGATCTCAGTTGTGCAGTGACCCTGAACTCCCTAGCACCGTGGTTTTAAACCGGGGAGGATGAGCATGTGTATCTGATATTTTGGCAGTTAGAAGATGGCCACTCTGGCAGGCTGGAGAAGACAGAAGACCTGTGGCTGAAGGTGCGGAAGGATCACGCGCCTCGGCTGGCGCGTCTCTCGCTGGAGAGCAGGTCCCTCCAAGATGTGCTCCTATACGGTGAGTGTTGTGCTTGATGTGCTCTGGGGTATCTTCTCCCTGCTCCTTTGGGAGCAGTCTGCGTGAAGGGGGAAGAAGAGGCTTGCTTTGCAGGAAGCTATTTCAGTGGGTCTCTGTTGGAAATGTAGTGAATATTGTGGCTTGTGCAGCTGCTGGCCCAGGAATGGGGGCAGGCTGCCAGCTCGGTGCACTAGGATGTTTTGATTTCTGACTAAATGGATGTTGTGCCTTACAGGCAAGCCCAAGCTGGGCCGTGAGCTGGGCCGAGGACAGTATGGCGTGGTGTATCTGTGTGACAGCTGGGGAGGGCATTTCCCATGTGCACTGAAATCTGTTGTTCCTCCAGATGAGAAGCACTGGAACGACCTTGCACTTGAGTTTCACTATATGAGGTAGGTATTGAAAGCGCTTTTCTCACTCCACGTGCATTTGCTCAATGTCACTGCTGCGAGCAAAACACTATCAGTTTGTAGGACTGGTGTGCCTTGCTGTTGTTGTTTTAATGTGGCAGTTATTGGGCAGTCTTTTTCCTTTAGGAGATTAGGCATGTCCAGGAGGGGCGGAAAGGATATAAAAAAAAGACTGATTTTCCTGCTGAACTTCCTCTAGGTCTCTACAGACGCACGAGCGGTTGGTACATCTCCATGGTTCTGTAATAGATTATGGCTATGGAGGAGGTTCCAGCATTGCTGTCCTGTTGATAATGGAACGGCTGCACAGAGACCTCTATACAGGACTAAAGGTACCAAGAATCTAACTATCAAGAAAAGCCTGTATATCTACGTCCAGGTGTAAAATGAAGCCTTCCACTTCTTGATCTAGTAAAACTACTTCATTAAAGTGACAAGAGCAGCTCCTGTCCTGTCTCCTGTTGTCTAGTAACTTTATGGAAGGGTGGCTTTGCAGGAGTTATTGATTCTTTTTCAGTATGGTTTGGCAAAGCAGGGTAAGGAAATCCCATAGATAAAAGGAACTTCCACTTTCAGGATTAAATCTGTTTGTTTATTCTTCAGGCTGGGCTAGAATTAGAAACACGATTACAGATCGCCTTGGATGTGGTTGAAGGAATCCGTTATCTTCACAGTCAGGGACTCGTGCACCGGGATATCAAACTCAAAAATGTCTTGGTAAGGAAAACTTTTCTATCTGGCTAATTCTGAAGACTAATCAGACATTTTTAATGAGAAGAAACATTATTTTAAGTGAAGTAGGAGCCCTGCTCATATAGAATCTTTCTCTTGTAATAGGTTAGTGGTAGCTCTTAGTATTTAGTAGTATTCACCAAAAAAATAAAAGCTTTGCAGTGAGGCTTTGCTAGCTTAAATTCAGCTAGAAAGCCTAGGGGGAAGGGAGCAGTCGAGTGACTTCTTGAAGGCAGCTGGGGCTAGAAGTGGGATTTCCAGTTCCTAGTGCTAGTAAACTAAACCCCTCCCTCTATGGAGAAGACAAGTGAAGACCTGTCTAGTTACTGAGCCTGACTGGTGAAGTGTCCCATTAGCAGCCAAGTCACCAGAGAGGGTTCTTTTCTAAAGAACAAGCGTTGAACCCTTCAAACAGTGTTTTAAACCTTAATATTAAAAGCAGTATTGAAACTGAAAGGTTTTTATCAGCTGTTTGTATGTGACTGATTCTGCAGCTCGACAAAAAGAATCGAGGCAAAATCACTGACCTGGGGTTCTGTAAACCAGAGGCAATGATGTCTGGCAGCATTGTGGGCACCCCCATTCACATGGCTCCCGAGCTCTTTACAGGTAGGCTTCTAATAAACCAGTAACTGTTGAACTTTCTTTGAAACTTACCTAGCCCCTTGACCAGCACTGGTCCATAAATCTCAATTTGGGAACCACTGATGCCACATTAAGAGGGTTTAGTCTGAGCATTGTGCGTGCTGATGTTAGTTTTCAAAGTGCTCATCTTCTGGTGGTGTGGAGAGCATTTGTCATCTAATGAAATCTTTATTTTCCACAGGAAAGTACGATAACTCAGTGGATGTTTATGCGTTTGGCATTCTGTTTTGGTACATTTGTTCGGGACATGTGAAGCTACCAGAGGCGTTTGAGAGATGTGCAAGCAAAGACCACCTGTGGAACAACGTTAGAAGAGGTACAGTGAACTTCATCAGGGGACACTGTGCTTGAGTAAAACTTGAGAGCAGATAAGGAAATCTATTTTTATCCCTTTTTTTAACTGAAAGGCTAAAACATAGGGTTTTTCAACTGTCTGAAGATTAGTGTTGATCTAGTGGAACTCGGACATGCTGTGAAAACCTAACAAAAACAGAGATGAAAAATAGTTTGGAGTTAACTACCTCCTTTCTGGAGCATTGTAGGGACTGGGCTAATGCAGCACTTGAGCGTTGTATAACTTGAAATAATTATGATGTAAAACACACTGTGGAACCAGGCAGCTGTGGCATGATCCTCTAAAGAATGCGTAATCCCTTGCAATTTCTGGAGGCCATAGGGATCTTTATGTTCAAGTGCTTAATATGCAGCGTGCTGGGGAAGCTGTCATTGATGGGCTGGATTTTGAGTAGAAAAGTGGAAGTTATTTCTTATTTTTTTCTGAAAAATAAAGCTGTTTTATGCCTAAGTAGTTTTAGTGCACTTTTGTGTTTTGTGATATCTTAATCCTCCATGCTGCATCATGGCAGCAGAATGCTTTACTGCTTTGTCCCAAGTTCCTGTCCATATAATCTCTCCCCTTCTCATGTGAAAAAGATTAACCCAGATAAATGAGTCTTGTATTTGGTGAGAGGGCTACTGCTCATTGCTTGTTCTCACATTGAACTTGCTCCCAAACGTGCGCCCTCCTGATGGGAGAGGAATAGGGTTTTTGGGGTGTTTGCTTTCTAAATAAGGGAGGATATCCTTATTTTTGTCCCAAATAATTGTAAAGAGGAGGCATCAAGAGGCTAATCATTTCTGCAGCAAGGTGACAAGCCTAAGACTAAGCTTGGCCCATTTTGAGGGGTGTGTGGATGCTGACAAGGTCCCTGTCTGTTTTCCAGGAGTTCGCCCAGAGCGTCTTCCTGTGTTTGATGAGGAATGCTGGCAGCTCATGGAAGCTTGTTGGGATGGGGACTCCTCCCAGCGCCCGCTCTTGGGGATCGTTCAGCCTATGCTGCAGGGGATCATGGACAGGCTCTGCAAGGCCAGCTCTGAGCACCCAAATAAAGGCTTGGATGACTCAACTTGAAAAGGAAGCACAGAAGAAATTTTAACGGAGAGGATTCTGAACCCCTTAACTCTGCAGATGGCTTCTTCACATGTAGCTCTCGGTGGCTAACGTGACTGGGACAGGTAATAGCAGCCCAAAGATTGCTCAGAGGTGAGACCCTGGGGACGTTGCATCTTGAATTGCAGAGAGAAATCTCCCCGGAATACCCCATTGATGCTAGTTACCCTGCTGCAGCTTTGAGTAGAGGTGAGCAAATAAGATAGAAAATCATGCCCTTGGACTGAAAGGGATTTTTTTCGCCCATCCCACATAAACTCCAGTCACACAAAAGCACCTTGTGTTTCAGGTAGCATCCGAGTTGCCAGGAGTTGATCCGGACAGTGGTTGAAACAAAAGCTCCCCGTTAACTGACGGGCCTGGGTGGCCTTGGGTCTGTCCACAGCTATTCCGATCCCGTATCGATCGGCAGCAATTCCAGTGCAGTGGGAGGGGAAAGAGAAAGCAGAGGCTTCAGGCTAGAAGGGGTTAGAGGATCGGAATGTCTATTTTTATTAGCTTCTTGCTGCACTCATAATGTTTACATGCACAGGAGTAAAGCTTCCGTGTTTTACCTAAGGGGGAATTATCCACTGTTCCATTGCAGTGAAAATACCCCAAGTTATAAGCTCTTATGTACCCTTCACCTCTTACTACTTTAGGAAAAAAAAGCTCTTTTGTGGTAGTTCTGCTTCATAATGGCTACTAGAAGTCTGAACAAACCTGACCTTTACTACAGTATTTTGGGGAAAATGGTAGAATGCTCAGAGATTACATATTATAATATGGAAACATGAAGTCATTGCCACTAATGACTGTCCATGGGAGGGGGGGGGAAGCAGATTCATTTTAAACTGGGGTTCTGAATTAGCTGTAAAGGCAATGACAATTTTAAATTGTGTTAACTATTGACAAACATTTTTAAAAAAATACAGTTTCTTCAGGGTTTTTTTTAAAGTCACATGCTTGGTGAGAGCCTAATCTAGGGAAAAAACAGGTCATTCATTCATTCTTCAGTAGCTGTGTATCGTGGCTGTGTTTGCTCATCTGATTGCTTCACTTGGGGCTCTCTATTTTGGCAGCATCGGAAAGAATCAAGATGTGGGTGGGAGGGAGGCAACTCCTTCGCAAGGAAGGCTTCAGTTGGGCTGGTCCTTGTGCCCTTCAAAGGGCTTCTTCTCCAAGTACCTTGTCCTCTGTCTTTTGCATTTCTGGGGCAAGGTGGGTCTTAATATAACATACCAATGGGGTGGAGGTTGGAATAGAAAAAGACACCTTATATAATAGAGGAGGAAATCCGGAGCTGGCAGGTTCCTCCCTGGGTTTGCTGTTGCTTCCAGCTGCAAGGTGGGCAGGAAAGCTGGTGTCCTGTGTCCAGACTTGGGTCAGTGTGTGGACCTGCTGCACCTTGTTGCTGGAGTTTACTGGCTGGTACGCAGCCAAGTGACAACCCCACAGCCTGCCCGGGGAACAGCTTGAACAAAGGAAAGGGATCAATAACCCTGCAGTGTTAGCTTAGCTTAAATCTTCCTTTCTTTGTGCAATAAACTGAATTAATGCTTTTAAAAAAAAAAGAGAAAAAACAAAAAAACTTTTTTATTTACCTGCACACGTGGGCATTTTTGTGGCCTCTGATGGTGTTAACAGTATAGTCCTATCCAGATAGGAGCCTCTGCAACTAGTCCAGCTGGAAGGGCAGCAAGTGCGACCCGCGTGCACAGAGCAACTCCTTTTCCCAAACGGAATCGTTGGGCGTTTCACTGCCTTGGGGTGTATGTGCATGTCACCCATGACACTAACAGTATTAACTCTGCTTCCTCTGTGTTGTGGCTAGTAACCATATTTAAAATGGGGAGAGTCGAGGTCAGTCTCTTGCAATTTAATAGTTTGTATAAAAACTACATGTATGAATAAAACGTAAATGTCTGTATATGCAATTCCAAAAATGTCTTGTATAGCTTTTCCTGTGTAGCTATTGCCAGACACTTATCTGGTGCCTTTATAATGGTTTGTGTTGCTACCTTGATGTCTTTTTTGGTTTGTCTTTTTGCATGTGCAACATGATAGACCTCCGGGTTTTCCCCAGCTTAATACAGCTGCTTCTCTGCATTTTTTTTTCTATTTGGTTTAATGTCTTAGACTAGTTTTGAGAGATTTGGTAGACTTGTTTTGATTTCACACGCCCTGTTACCTTTATAACGAGTGGGGGTTCTTCCTCATCAGAGCAAGGAAAATCAAGTGAATAAATGATAACTGTTAAAAGATTTCACAGCTGCAATCCCAGATACTTATATGGAGTTTTATGACAAAACTGTAGAAGCAGTAACTCAGATATGTTAAGCTTGTGCAGTTGGACTGAGTAGTTGTTTGTTGAAATGAGGCTGCCTTGGTTTCTTTAATCCACTGAGGTGGTTTATTGCTGTATAGTTTTGTTTTGCTTTTTTAAAAAAAGGTACCTAGATCTTATGCATTATACAGCTTACCCTGTGTAACCAGGTCCTGGACTAGCTGTTGTGGAGGGACACGCAGCCGTGTCGCACTAATCACTTAAACAGCACGGGGTGAATCACTTACGTTGAGGCTGACTTCTGTGGACACTGACACTTAAAGCTTCTCCCTCTCCCTTCCTGTAGACCCATCTCTTGGGAAGGTTTCTGTGCAGCGTTCAGCCCTGCAATGATTTGAAAAGAAATGTTATTTACTGAGGTTACTGTAAGGTTTAGGTGCTGCTGCAGGGGCTGTAGCTGGTGCTCCGAGAGAGGTCGAATCTACAGGGGAAGCAGAAAAGGTCAAGTTAGACTTAAGTTCAGCTCCTCTGCTCCCCTTTTCCCTTGTGAACACTACGTGGAGTGGGAAGCACTGGGAGCAGATGCTCTCTAGAAGCAGTGCTGAGGTGCGGGGAGGCCAGAGTGCTCCAGCCTCTGCCCTACTTCTCTTATCCCAGCATATCCAGACCTGCAAGCCGTGCTCTAGGCGGGACCAAATCCTTTCCTTAAGCCACTGGATTCCCTTGATTACACTAAAGGGCAGCGAGGTGCTGAGGGGCTGGAGCAGGCCTGTCCCTCAGAGCCACCCTGCTCTTGGTGCAGGCTGGGGCGAGCAGCCAGTGACTTTTAGCTTAGAGGTTGCCCAGAGGCGCTTTCCCTCAGTCTTGCAGCCCTAAGCCAGCACTAAGGCCGAGCGGCCTCCAAGGCTCTTCCAGGGGGTTCCTGAGGGCTCCCGCGCTGCCTTTTGTACCGCTTCTCTGCGTGTTATTGTAAAGAGCTGATGTATTTACCATGTTATAGGAAAAAAACAATGTGTAACAAACTTACTAAGTGCATAGGAAGACGGAAAAAAAAAGAGAGAAAAAAAAAAAGTGCAATAACCAGAATGACCCAATAAACGGATTTTGTACGGCGCTCGTGTCCCGGCTGCTGACCTGCCCCGCGCATGCGCGCTCGGGCCGCGCCTTGCCGCCCGTCTCCGGGCAACGGCGCCCGCCGCGGCTTCTGCGCTTGCGGCGCGCATGCGCGGGCTGCCCGCCGTGCTGCCTGCGCCGCCCC